TCAGTAGTGAGTGGGGTACCCATCTCCTGGATGGATAATGGTATCAGTAGTGAGGGTACCCATCTCCCCTGGATGTAGGTATCAGTAGTGAGTGTTGTTCCTATCTCCCTGGATGTAGGTATCAGTAGTGAGTGTTGTTCCTATCTCCCGGATGTAGGTATCAGTAGTGAGTGGGGTACCCATCTCCCTGGATGTAGAGTGTCAGTAGTGAGTGGGGTACACATCTCCCTGGATGTAGGTATCAGTAGTGAGTGGGGTACCCATCTCCCTGGATGTAAGTGTCAGTAGTGAGTGTTGTTCCATATCCCTGGATGTAGGTATCAGTGAGTGAGTCCCCGACGGGGGTGCACATCTCCCTGGATGTAGGTGTCAGTAGTGAGGTGGGGTACACATCTCCCTGGATGTAGGTATCAGTAGTGAGTGTTGTTCCTATCTCCTGGATGTAGGTGTCAGTAGTGAGTGTTGTTACCCTATCTCCCTGGATGTAGGTGTCAGTAGTGAGTGTTGTTCCTATCTCCCTGGATGTAGGTATCAGTAATGAGTGGGGTACCCATCTCCCCTGGATGTAGGTGTCAGTAGTGAGTGTTGTTCCTATCTCCCCCAGATGTAGGTGTCAGTAGTGAGTGGGGTACACATCTCCCCCAGATGTAGGTATCAGTAGTGAGTGGGGTACCCATCTCCCCTGGGTGTAGGTATCAGTAGTGAGTGGGGTACACATCTCCCCTGGATGTAGGTATCAGTAGTGAGTGTTGTTCCTATCTCCCTGGATGTAGGTGTCAGTAGTGAGTGAGTGTTCCCATCTCCCTGGATGTAGGTGTCAGTAGTGAGTGTTGTTCCATCTCCCTGGATGTAGGTGTCGTAGTGAGTGAGTGTTGTTCCCATCTCCCCTGGATGTAGGTGTCAGTAGTGAGTGGGGTACACATCTCCCCTGGATGTAGGTATCAGTAGTGAGTGGGGTACCCATCTCCCCTGGATGTAGGTATCAGTAGTGAGTGTTGTTCCTATCTCCCCTGGATGTAGGTGTCAGTAGTGAGTGTTGTTCCCATCTCCCCTGGATGTAGGTGTCAGTAGTGAGTGTTGTTCCCATCTCCCCTGGATGTAGGTGTCAGTAGTGAGTAGGGTACCCATCTCCCCAATATGTAGATATCAGTAGTGAGTGGGCTACACATCTCCGCAGGATGCAGGTGTCAGTAGTGAGAAGGGTACCAATCTCTCCAGGATGTAGGTATCAGTAGTGTGTAGAATACCCATCTCCCCAATATGTAGGTGTCAGTAGTGAGTGGGGTACCCATCTATCCAATATGTAGGTGTCAGTAGTGAGTGGGGTACCCATCTCCCCTGGATGTAGGTATCAGTAGTGAGTGGGGTACACATCTCCGCAGGATGTAGGTGTTAGTAGTGAGTGGTGCTTCTACCCCCCCTGGATGCAGGTGTCAGTAGTGAGTGGGGTACCAATCTCTCCAGGATGTAGGTATCAGTAGTGTGTAGAGTACCCATCTCCCCAATATGTAGGTGTCAGTAGTGAGTGGGGTACCAATCTCCCCTGGATGTAGGTGTCAGTAGTGAGTGGGGTACTCATCTATCCAATATGTAGGTGTCAGTAGTGAGTGGGGTACCCATCTCCCCTGGATGTAGGTGTCAGTAGTGAGTGTTGCTTCTACCTCCCCTGGATGCAGTTGCCAGTAGTGAGTGGGGTACCCATCTCCCCTGGATGTAGGTGTCAGTAGTGAGTGGGATACCCATCTCCCCTGGATGTAAGTGTCAGTAGTGAGTGGGGTACCTATCTCCCCTGGATGTAGGTATCAGTAGTGAGTGCGGTACCCATCTCACAAGGATGTAGGTGTCAGTAGTGAGTGGGGTACACATCTCCCCTGGATGTAGGTGTCAGTAGTGAGTGGGGTACCCATCTCCCCAATATGTACGTGTCAGTAGTGAGTGTTGTTCCTATCTCCCCTGGATGTAGGTGTCAGTAGTGAGTAGGGTACCCATCTCCCCAATATGTACGTGTCAGTAGTGAGTGGGGTACCCATCTCCCTGGATGTAGGTGTCAGTAGTGAGTGGGGTACCCATCTCCCCTGGATGTAGGTATCAGTAGTGAGTGGGGTACCCATCTCCCCTGGATGTAGGTGTCAGTAGTGAGTGCAGTACCCATCTCCCCTGGATGTAGGTGTCAGAAGTGAGTGGGGTACCCATCTCCCCTGGATGTAGATGTCAGTAGTGAGTGGGGTACCCATCTCCCCTGGATGTAGGTATCAGTAGTGAGTGGGGTACCCATCTCCCGGATGTAGGTGTCAGTATTGAGTGGAGTACCCATCACCCCTGGATCTAGGTGTCAGTAGTGAGTGGGGTACCCATCTATCCAATATGTAGGTGTCAGTAGTGAGTGGGGTACCCATCTCCCCAATATGTAGGTATCAGTAGTGAGTGGGGTACACATCTCCGCAGGATGTAGGTGTTAGTAGTGAGTGTTGCTTCTACCTCCCCTGGATGCAGGTGTCAGTAGTGAGTGGGGTACCAATCTCTCCAGGATGTAGGTATCAGTAGTGTGTAGAGTACCCATCTCCCCAATATGTAGGTGTCAGTAGTGAGTGGGGTACCAATCTCCCCTGGATGTAGGTGTCAGTAGTGAGTGGGGTACTCATCTATCCAATATGTAGGTGTCAGTAGTGAGTGGGGTACCCATCTCCCCTGGATGTAGGTGTCAGTAGTGAGTGTTGCTTCTACCTCCCCTGGATGCAGTTGCCAGTAGTGAGTGGGGTACCCATCTCCCCTGGATGTAAGTGTCAGTAGTGAGTGGGATACCCATCTCCCCTGGATGTAGGTGTCAGTAGTGAGTGGGGTACCTATCTCCCCTGGATGTAGGTATCAGTAGTGAGTGCGGTACCCATCTCACAAGGATGTAGGTGTCAGTAGTGAGTGGGGTACACATCTCCCCTGGATGTAGCTGTCAGTAGTGAGTGTTGTTCCTATCTCCCCTAGATGTAGGTGTCAGTAGTGAATGGGGTACACATCTCCCCTGGATGTAGGTGTCACTAGTGAGTAGGGTACCCATCTCCCCAATATGTAGGTGTCAGTAGTGAGTGGGGTACCCATCTCCCTGGATGTAGGTGTCAGTAGTGAGTGGGGTACCCATCTCCCCTGGATGTAGGTGTCAGTAGTGAGTGTTGCTTCTACCTCCCCTGGATGCAGGTGCCAGTAGTGAGTGGGGTACCCATCTCCCCTGGATGTAAGTGTCAGTAGTGAGTGGGATACCCATCTCCCCTGGATGTAGGTGTCAGTAGTGACGGGGATACCCATCTCCCCCGGATGTAAGTGTCAGTAGTGAGTGGGGTACCTATCTCCCCTGGATGTAGGTATCAGTAGTGCGTGCGGTACCCATCTCCCCTGGATGTAGGTATCAGTAGTGAGTGCGGTACACATCTCCCCTGGATGTAGGTGTCAGTAGTGAGTGGGGTATGCATCTTCCCTGGATGTAAGTGTCAGTAGTGAGTGGGATACCCATCTCCCCTGGATGTAGGTGTCAGTAGTGAGTAGGGTACCCATCTCCCTCGAATGTAAGTGTCAGTAGTGAATGGGTTACCCATCTCCCCTGGATGTAGGTATCAGGAGTGAGTGTTGTTCCTATCTCCCCTTGATGTAGGTGTCAGTAGTTAGTTGGGTACACATCTCCCCTGGATGTAAGTGTCAGTAGTGAGTTGGTTTCCCATCTCCCCAATATGTAAGTGTCAGTAGTGAGTGTTGTTCCTATCTCCCCTGGATGTAGGTGTCAGTAGTGAGTTGGGTACACATCTGCCCTGGATGTAAGTGTCAGTAGTGAGTTGGTTACCCATCTCCCCAATATGTAAGTGTCAGTAGTGAGTGTTGTTCCTATCTCCCCCGGATGTAGGTATCAGTAGTGAGTTGGGTACCCATCTCCCCAATATGTAGGTATCAGTAGTGAGTGTTGTTCCTATCTCCCCCGGATGTAGGTATCAGTAATGAGTGGGGAGTTAGCATCTTGGACATACTCTGGAAACATGGCACCACACCGAAAATGTTCGAAAAGTTGTTTCAAAAAGGGAAATATGCCTTGGAACTTTGCTGAAAAACAAACCCAGGGAAAAGCAAAGTAGATTTAAAATGCCCCAGACTGTCAGGTTGACCCCTGAGCTACATAAGAAAGTGACCAGTGCAGGGGTGACTGGAGTCCAGCCAGTACAAACACTCACCAATCTGCCATACCGCCTGTTAAGGCCGAGGATGAGAAACACCCATCAGGAGGATGATTGTTCACTGAAAACAAAAAGTGACAGGTAAGATGACTATAATCTACTAATTCATGTCACCCAAGCTTTGAAATACTTGCAGGTAACAAAAAGTCCTCATTGTTAAATTATTTAGGTGGCCAAACTTGCCTCATTAAAAGAATTTATCTTTAAACAAGGTGACATAAGACATTTTCAATTTTATTCACATTTTTCAGTGATTAAGTGAAGTAAGTGGCCAAATTCAGACTCATGAATGAGTGTTTTTCAAAACCAATTAAAAAAAACAGTGTTTTAATACCATAATGAAGGGATAAACTGGGATAGAAATAGAAAATACAGCAAGGGAGATAATTCACAAATGTCGAACACAACAACATATTGTAAAAATCATTTAGAAGTTTCCCAAGTTGTCAGCGGGGTTTATTTTAAATCTGCAGGGCTGCTGCTGATGTGTATCATCTGTTCCACGTTGGGGACACAGAGAAACTGTTCAATGAGGCATTTCGTGAGCATGCCACCACATCGACAAACTGTGAGGGGGACCTGGTTATGGATATAGAGCATGAACAGCAGTGGGGCCTCAACTGGACAGAGAGACTGAAATGTACCAACTGTGGCTACCTGTCTAGCATCATCATGAGCTCTCTACAAGGAGGTAGAAGTAGCTGCGGCAAAGAAGGGACGCCGCTCCTCCACTGCTAACACTGGACTCAGATAGGCCTGTCGAAATGTCCCATGGGGTGTGAGAGTTTCGTGTCCTCTGCATGAGTGCAGATATTCCACCCCATCCAGTTCAGGCATGCAGAAAGCTGCAAACAGAGTTTGTGATAATATTAAATCTCAAAATGTGAAGGATATGAGGGCCAGGAGGGTGGAAATGAGGGAAATAAATAAATGCAGGGGAACAAATTTAAATAATGTTAGCATGTCTACAGATGGCATGTACAACAACCCACTTTGTTCAGGTGTTGGGAAAACCCCTTTTCAGCCAGCCACTCAAGTTACCTATGTAGCCACTGAGAATGAGACTTGTGACCACCAAACAGGGCTCCAGATAACTTTTGGGGGTGCGAGTGTACTTACACATCATATTGCAAGTGAAGGTGTACTGAGAATTTTGAAGGAGTACTGGCATGTTTTTGTGTGACCGAGTTGATGTGGTTTGTCTGGACGATTCATCGCTCACTATTTCCAACCATGTGTTTGTATTTGAAGACGCGTGAGAAATAACTGGCGACCGTGTGATGTGAAATGTCAGGTCCGACTGGATATAAATAGGAACAGTGTAGATTTAGCCAATCGAAAAATAGTGGATTTATATCGTTGCATGGCAACGCATAAAGGGATTCCTACTGTGGGGTTTCCTTATGTGTCAAATCGTGTTTCGCAAAAGAAACTGAACAAGTATTTATCGAAATAGATTTCCATTTGCCGACGACGCACGCGAAATTAAATGTTAGGCGTATGAAGGTAATTATGTGCGTACTACGATGCGCTTGAAATCTTATATTATGTGCGGTTTAGGCGTCCATTACGCATGTACGCGCCCCTTATCTGTAGCCCTGACCAAAGATTGGCTCTACAAACAAAATCAAAACTTTGTTCAAAGCACAGTTTAGTTGACAACATTTCTTGTGTAAACAATCCAGACTGCACTGCTGATTTGCACATGTCAGAATCAATAGGGAATGAAAAACAGTTAGCTTCAGAGTGTTTCAGGGACTTAAAGAAAGACCAAATTGATGTAGAATTTTTGACAACAGATGCTGATAGTGCAGCTTACACAGCTCTCACTGAAATGTATGAAGCAGGGGAGATGGATGTTTGTCCGCAAACCTTTCTCGATACAAGGCACCTATCAGCCAGTCATAGAAAATTCATAAAAAATTCTAAATTTGTTGTGGACATGATGCCTGCTAGAACTAAACAAGATAAACAGAATTTGGCAAATACATTTTCTTTAGACTGTGCATCCAGATGTGCAGCTGAGTTTTCAGCTGCTTACTCAAGTCATGCCGGTGACTTGCCAAGGTTGAAGAAACCTCTGTCATATACCTCTGATGCTATTGCTTACTGTTACATGGGAGATCACACTAAATGCAGAAAGCAGTCACTTGTGTGCAAGGGGGGAAGCAAAATTGGTTATTACACAGTAAATATTTGGATAAAAACTTCAAAATTACTTACAATAAAATTCATTTTCAAAATTTGAGAAAATGCACTGACTTTCGTCTCGGCCCTAAAATAATAGACAAGACCCAATTCAACCTGAACAGTCAAAAAGTGTGAAGCTACAAACAAGGCACTGCGCAGGTCATTACCTTGTGATACAACCTTTACTCGGAACTTCCATGGCAGAGCTCACAGTGCTGTGCATAGTGTTAACTTTAAAAGTCCAGCAAAATCACTCTTGACGCTGAGACATGGGCTCGGGTGTGCTGTCACTGCAAAAAGTAAAATTGATAATGAAATCAGCAAAAGCCACAATAAAGTACTTAAAGCTAAAACATACAAGAAATAAAAAATAAGTAAGGACTGCCGTGCTAAGAAAAAGTTAGAATTATTCAAACTCCATCATTGCCAAAAAAAATCAATATTCAAAAGACATGTTATTGAAAAGAAATACTGCATATTTGAGACATCAACACCAAAGAGGGGATCATCCACACACAAAACAGGCCCCAAACAAAAAAAACTAAAAACATAATGTATATGCTTACATTAAACAGTAGGGTTTATGACTCTTGGTGCACAAGCCCTGTTGTCGACAGTGAATTCTTTCCATATTGTGTTAGTTCGTGGGTCTCGACAGTCAAATGGTCAGTGTTTACAGAAGAAGTGTTGTGACAGAGATGGCTCACTTCATTTTTTTGCCAGAGCTGTCAGTTTTAACCAAATCATCTGGTAAACATTTATTTGCTATGCATAGGGCTATTCTGTGGGCTTTTGTTCGGTCCCTGCCTTGACTGACCGATACGAAAAGAAGCACCGCCCATAGCCCTGCTTATCTCGGCTGCCCAACCAGTCCCTGCAACCAAATTTATCACTTGGGTCACTCATTTTCCTTTCAAAATTCCCTCTACATTTGTCCCAAAACGTTTCCATGGCAGTAGATCCACATGGAAAGCCATAAATTATGAACTGCTGAAATATGCACTTACCCTACAGGTTACACGACACCAAATGTTTTCCCATAGACTTCTATAGTAGCCTTATATTTTTTATAAAATTATCCAGGCTATCAACAGCCATTCCATGTACACATGGGTACACTCTGGCCTTTAAACTACAATGAAACACAATATCTGGCCAACTTGTCCGGCTTGTTTTGCGAGCACAGGAAGCGGAACACATCAACCCCAGTTCCGCACCAAGTGTCACCTACTGGAAAATATCTGTACACACAATAAGTATAAGTCATGGTGATGAAAATCACAGCACTGAATACTTAAAATTGTGGTCAGTTTTAATTACTGGTTGGATATGCTTTTAAAAAACATAAACACCTTACACTATTTCATCCAATCACAGCTGTCACATGTCTCTATCTCTTCACTTGTTTACATACGGTCCGGCTCAGTGAGCAAGCAATTCTCATTTAGTGTAGTATAACCTTTATGCAATATGTCAACAATCAAGGGAAATAACTCTGCACCCTAATATTTCAAATTACCCCCACCCACCCTTATCCATTGGCTTGAATACCCCCCACACAACCATGTATTGTTTCTCTTACAGACACTCAGCACATTATTATCACACCCACCTCCATTCCATATAACATGTGATTCCACTTTGACACAGGCCTGGGTATCCTTAAACAAAACCACAATACAAAAACCTTAATCCACGAAGCATGCTAAGGGTCATCTGTTCACCAGCTGTGAAGGCACCAAGCACATTGGGTACAAAATTTCATAATGGCTGTATATACACTAGTTGCTTCACCTGATTTAAATGGCGACAAGTACTGAAAATTAACCTTGTTTAACATGGCAAGACATATACTTTCCAGCCACCTGCATTATAGGGGACTAAAATACTAGCCACAAGAGAAAGTGCACATACTAAATCAAAATATATATTTGAACTGCCTCTGTACACAAATACCGATGTAACCAGTCATTAGTGACTTTAATTCAACAAATTTCATGACATCAGTGGCTTCGGCATGAGCATATGCAATAAGTTTGTGCATCATGATAAACTGCGGGAATGTCAAAAACTAATTTCAAGTCAAAAAGCTTAATTAATTAAGTCTTATGTTTGATCATTCAAAAATTTCAGCAGTTAATAAACCCCACATCATGCCACTATTCATGACTGCACAATAACACGAGGCTACTGGGATGGCCCGTGGGGTAATGTCTCAATGTCAGGAGGCTGTGAAACACCATGTCAGCACTGTTGAGACGTTATAGGAAGACTAATGAAGTTGCCAACCACATCATGCACCATGTCTGTGTCAAAAGGCCGAGCATGGACATATGTATACAACTTACCTATCTATATATGGCACAGGTTCCAGACATCGATGACCAGTATTCATTGTGTCATGCAATACATGTGCCCTGTCACCTAGCTACCTTAGTTAGTCACTAGGTTGAGTACAAAGAGTTAACACACCTAAACTCACCAATAGTTTAACCCATGCACATGCAATACATGTGCCCTGTCACACAGTTACCCAGGTTAGTGCTGAAGAGTTCTCACTGGTTCAAAGTCAAGGTTGGATGGCACTGGGTGGCTGACTGCCTGGGGACTGCATTTGTGCATCTCTAAGCTTTGTGTCCAACTGTTTTAGATCAGGCAGGACCTGAAACAAGTGTAAAGCAAATATTATCTTGTCCTACATGGGGTAACATTGCACAGCTGCATTTGTTTCAAACAGGGACAGATATCCTTCAACCCTGCACCGATTTGCCTGAACTCTCAATCCCAATTGTACATTATTATACTCAAACTACACATCAGAATTAACCATTAACCCAGTGAATCACCTACCCACCCAGCCAATGAGAGAGTCACCTACCTAACCAGCCAAGGTGTGGGTCACCTGCCCATGAGTTACCTGAATGAGTTACCTAGCTAGTCACTGCCTAGCCAGTCCTGTCATCCAGGCAGCTTGCATGTGAGTCACCTAGCCAGCCAGGTACCCATGCAGCAACCCAGATAGCATTCCGACGTTGACCCAACGTTGGCAATGGTTGGCAACGTCGCGGTCGGATTTCATACCTTGGTCGGACGTTGGCCCAACATCGGGGAAGCCTCGCGGATATTTCATTAAAGGGACGCTACTCCAAACTGTTAGCTTTTCCCAGAGGGCGCTCACATTCTTCGAGCAGATGACGCGACATGATCACAAGCTTGGACATCGGAGTACAGGTTTCCTCGAATATATAGCGGTAACTGTTTCATTTTGTGTTTTTATTATGTTAACTCTACCACCGAAAAACAGTCATGGTTCATTCAGAAATACCAACGTGAATGATTATTTACTTGAAATTAAATGACCACATCGCGGTTCTCGGCTAAGGAAATTCATGACTGAAACCCAATAAGTACAGGTATGTGATCACACTGGTGGCTTTGAAAATGCAGCATTCCAGCATCAAAAGAAAATCGAGCTTGTCAATATCAATTGGTTCGCTGTGATCGAGTGCATATAAATTTAAAGTTACAAGTCGTCGAAAGTGACCCTCGCCTGCTTTCGCTGTATTGCCCGGAGATCATGAGTCGATCCATCCACCTACATGACCACCGAATGATCCCCGTGATGTGGCATTTGTTATATGATGGTTGATTGTGGCAACAGTAAAAATATTACAGTTACAGTACCAATCATCCATACACTTCGTCGAGCGGAGCTTCACTGGTGTAAGCGAATCGCGAGTTCAGTTTTCGATCACTGTCTGAAGCGTGTACAGACTCGTGCGGTTATATTCGGACACTTCACGTAATTTCTATAGGCTAACATGTTATTTCAGTGCAGCATAAATAATTTTCATGAAGGGATCTTTGTAAAATTTGACACCAAGACAGGCAAATGTGAAATACACGCTTTGGCTCTGCCCACATAATTTTAGTTCAATTTTCCAACCACTATTTAAATAATTGTTGCCAATGCCATTCGATAAATAAGCAGCAGAAATTATGTGATCGTAGGTAAGATTATTCCTCACGAATGTGCAAAATTTGACCAGCATCTTACCAAAATTAAATCAATGAAAATTATTTATGCTAAACTGAATTAACACGTATGTCTATGGAAACAAAATCGCTTCAGTATGCAAACATATATACATGTAGTTGATACGACTGCATTGTTTTTTCGACTTTTCTGATATCAGCAAAGCTATGCTATTTTACAAATTTCCCCAACATCTGAATAACTACAAAACATTTTTTATTTTGCATTTATTCTATACTTGAGTTACCAGTTTTAATAGAATGTAAGATACAATAGAAAGGTAAATTCACTACTTTACAGTAATCACCATATCTACTTAAACTGACACCAGTTACATCATTCTTTTCAGAAATGGGGTTAATCTAGATCTATATTGGTTAAAGTAAGAAAGTCATAGCTTGTGGTTTCTGTGCAGGTGATGTTTACAGCTTGTGGCAGCATATTCACGTGAAGTACAGAACATGAAGGAGTGGTGATTCCAACTGATGTACCCATACAAAAGGTATGTATAATGCAAAAAAATGGAAACATCTTCCAGAATGAAAATATCTAAATAAAAACTTAATTTTAAAACTTGATATATCCAAATCATTTAAGTATTTTTATAATGTGATTCAGTGACACCAGGTATCCATTGATGTTTTAAAAAGTAGCCAATGTTTGTTTACATCAATAATAGATGTCTTGTGAAGTCATTAGATGTTTATGTCATTTATTTTTATTCAGAGGCCAAGGCACAAGCACAGACCTTGTATACAGATGAAGATCTCCTGTGATTATTTCTTTCTCCTCCTCATCTGATAACTGAAAATATAAGGATACCCTGCCACTCAGTCCAAGTCCTGACTTGTAATTTAAGAAATAAATTAAGATCATCTCAACCAGACTTATCTTTTGTTCATTGTGTTGCTGTCATCATCAAACTTTTAACTGATAAAGAAAATGGATTGTGGGGCATCAGATGCAGAGACTATTTTGCTGCTCTCACTCTTGCCCTTGGTGTTAAATGTCTGGGGTAGGGCCAAGAAAAATTTAATGTTTCAAATCATTGAGTTTGGATTTTTTTCCAGGGCATGTTGCTTAATGGTTATCTATTTAAAAATCAACTATTTTTTTAATATCGTTTATGATATATATAGACTTGAAAGTTGTTTTGAAATATGCATAATATTTTAACTAATTGTATTCAGAAACAATTAAAACTTTTCTTGAGCCTACATAAAGCTGTCCAGTGGTGTCCAGCAAAGATAGAGAGAGTGAATTCAACTTGAAGAATGTATTGCTTGCGATGTGATAGTATTGCGAGATTTGTACAAACATTTCAGGGTAGGTAAGAGATATTGAGGAATGAAACAGACGTTGATCCAACATTGGGCCAACGTTTGTTTGCCAATGTTGGGCCAACGTTGAACCAACGTTGGGCAACGTTTCTTTGCCAACGTTGGCCCAACGTTGGTCCGACGGTCACGCCTACGTTGGGCCAACGTTGGTGTCCAACGTTGGGCCAACGTAAGTGGTGACGTTGGGCCAACGTTGGGCCAACGTCAGAATGCTATCTGGGAAGTGGATCAGTATTCTTGGTCCAGAGCTGTTTGATAAGAGAAAGGGTCTTACGGATAATGATAAGGGTTGGATAACCTAGCCTTACCTGATATAATCCTCACCCTCACATCCCCGGCAGCGAAACCTGTAAAAATGTACCACGAGATAGGATACTCACGAAAACAGGTGACAGGGCGAAACACATGTCACCCGCAACTATCGACACCGTCGGGTACCAAAATACACGAACAGACAATTGATAGAAAATCACAACTCGAGTCCATACAGCACAATGTCCAAGTTTATATATACAGCAAGAACTGTGATTACCACTAATCAAAAATACGTCTTCTCTTGTGAGCTCACTTCTCACGAAGACAACAGTGCCATATCAGCCTGTCAGCTCATCATTCTGCAACTCAGGAACCGGTGTTAAACATTCTTATCAATCTAAATCGTTAGACTATGATGGTACATTACCTAATGCACAAACTGCATCGGTCTCTCTTGCCTGACACTTGGTATTTGTCGCACATGACCGATCATCATTGGGCAAGAAATCTCCAAAATCTTCTTGCATGGTGGCCATTTTTATTCGCACACTGCATCATCCGCTTGGTGTCGCTGCACTTGATCGTCCAAAGCTGGGTCCCGTCTCTCATATTGCAATATACGATAATACAGCGCACTGTGGTAGCCGAGAACCAACAAAGTTCCAGTCTGTCCTAGCAATAAATGGGAACCAGTCTAAGAGATTCGCAGATTTCTACAGATTTTGACCCCAAAATGCCCTCTGTTAGAATTGTGAATAATTGCATTTAAACACTTTTAAAACTCTGGTAAAATCATCGTAAGTGTTTTGGTATATTTCCTCCTTGAATTTATTCAGGAATATTCTGAAAACATAACGCATTTCACCTATAACCGTTGATATTAAACGCCATTGGTGAAGAATGTCTGGAGGAAATATACGACTGTACATATAAAGGACGATATAAGTGCTGTACTGCGCCTGTGCTCAATGACGCTTCTGTTAGATCCTGTTCGTCATCGAAACCATTTGCTGAAATTGTTTCTCACATATATGTATGTGTGTGCGTGCGCGCGCGCGCGCGTACTCAGAGAGAGAAAAAGAGAGAGTGGGTGAGTTTAGTTTTACGCCGCACTCAGCAATATTCCAGCAATATTGCGGTGGTCTGTAAATAATCCAGTCTATACTAGATAATCAAGTGATCAACAGCATGAGCATCGATCTGCTCCCTCCTTTGTGCTTGTAATCACAACTATAGTACGTCAACTCATCAATTGTATAAACTCAACTCTAATCACAATCAATCACTCTGTACATCAACCTCCTCTGCTGTAATCACTTATCTAATATCCAATGTACATCAACCTTGTTAATTGTATATACTCACTATACAGCTATGTATATATTCTCCTTGCTTCAGTTGTTGTATAACTTGCTTGATAACGGTGTTAGTACCTACACCGAAACGTCGCACTCATTGCAATAAAGAAGTTGACTTAAAGAAATCAGTTTTCCTTCATCTTCACAACTTCTAAAATGCCTCTCAAAGAAATTAGCTGTGAATTATTTTTTGTTTTATCGTGTTCATTGTAGGTAAGAGAAGAAGCCAGAAATGTCGATAATTACCTTGTTCTGTGTGATTTTGCGTCAGTCATGGCGTCATGCTGCACAGAAACATTGACAATTTCGTGTAAACATATCTCATTACTGTATTGCATCTAGTTATCATTTGCTATTTCTTGCTACGACACCCTTTCCATGCATATTTTAAAGTATTGAGCAAATGCATATGCTACGAATAGACGAATGGATGTCTGTAAATTTGAGAAAATGCTACACACGTGTAAAGTGCGAATTTGTCTTTGTTTACATTTCAAACAAATGTTGTCATTCGAACACAGTTCGTTTTCTCACCCAGTATCTTTCCTTTCAATTCATATCCACAGTTGGTATTGGTCACAAAGACCAGTTGTAATTTGATTCTAAAATGTATGAGGAAATCAGATACCAAATACCGCAGTGAATCGCCATTTCGTAATAAGTCAAAAATGGCGACATTTATGATGAAGCCTTTTTTGAGAGGTCATGTTCAGTACTTTAATTTAAGATAACAGTGGATGGTATCACGAAACAGGAAATGTCCCGCAGAATTCGAAACTGTGAAGTGTATTTGAATGCTTGATTTTTAAAAAGTGAGGGTTGAAGAGGAAGGACATGTGTGTCCTTGTGTCATCGGGGTTAAATATTATGATATTTTTTGCCTACTGTCAGCTTAATACAGAATTGCACCGCTTCCGTGGTGTAGTGGTTAGAGCGTCCGCCCGGAGAGTGGAAGGTCGCTGGTTCGATCCCTGACCGTGTCATACCAAAAGACGTTAAAAGATGGCACTGGTTGGTCCCTGCCTGGCGCTCGGCATTAATGGGTACAACAAGGACTGGTCGGCTCGGAGTCAGTATAATGCGTCTGAGTGGGGTATTCATGTTTCACTGTGACATGGTATCTCAGTGGGCTAGCACTATAAAAACCAGCTAGTCTGGGCTAGTACAAGCACCACTGCCTATGAACCCCCGCACCCCCTAAATTATCCCGCCTAATCTTACAATTTGGAGACTCAAAGCAGTGGTTCATGGTAACCCTACATTTTGATCAGGGTGAATACGATCACCCTGAAAAAAATTCCGATGGCCGTCCAAAACCAGCGTACCCCCTTAACGAATTACCCCCAAAATTTCGACTGAACCTAACCTGTGAGATACAACGGCGTGGAGTGCCATCGTAGGCAAAGCCCGCGTTGATGGCGACCACCTTGAACTGACAAGTGAAGGCTTGGAACCTGGCGGCGATCTGCTGTAGGTTCTTGTCAGTTGTCCACGCGTTCACCCTGGCTTTGTAGTCTTCGAAGAGGTCACGCTACGTGGTGAGGCCATCTTCGTTGGAGGTGTATAGGTGTGCAAATCTGGACAAGAAGGGACAGAGGCAGGCGCTTTCCCTTGGCTGGACCGAGAGACCCCGACGAAATTACCCTGCTCGTGGCATTGTTGCTGTTCTCCGAACGAAGTTAAAGAGTGGAATGAAACGCAGCCGCATTCTCCATCTTATATAGTCGAGCCAGTGCGCATGTCTAGGTGTCTTCTGATTGGTTGATACAGTCATGACAACCTTCACGGAATCAAGTTACAGCGCTTGTTCTTAATTCCAGAAACATTGTTTCACCCCTGCCCACATTGGTCAGTGTATATCTGTCTCACTGACACACACCGGGTGTCTTCATACAGGAGAGCTCAGACACCCTCACCAACACCCTTCCCCCGTGATGCTCGTCAATGTTGAGTTGTCACCAGTCTTTGACAGTTCAGTATAAAAATGTTAGTCTGTCCATTCATACGTAATCCTATTTTCATCACACTAAGGAATGTGAGAGTCATCAATTGTGTACATAACTACATTTTAGAATTATGCTTAAACATTATGGGGGAAGGGGGTGTTATTGAAATTGTACATGGCATTCAAAGGGGGGTGCACTTACGTTGCACATACATTTTTATATATATTTTTTTGGGGAGGGGGTGGTGTCATTCACATTGTACATACTTCTCCATAACAATCATCATCATCCCCTAGCAATAAATTATGAACGGTCCCTAAACATGGCACATTAAAACACACAGAGAAAATACGCCTGTGTATGAGAACACACCACAATCCTGGCCTCGTGATAACTGTGTTATGCCAGGGGGGATTGGTAAACTGACCAGAAAGCACTGTATATAACTCATGGAAACGAATAAGGGAACACATGAAAGTACAAGTGTTCCTATATTTGTTTCCAGAATTTCACCCACAGTGCAATACAAAGCTTGTGAAGAAGCCTGGAAAAGAATTAAAGGAACAGTTCAAATCTCTATATTCCATTACTGAAGAGGCCACAGGCCTATAGTACAAAATATAAAAACAATAATGGCATACAATCACAATGTTTGCAAACGTTATTTTCTTTGTTCAAAAGCATGGTGGATATACATACCAAGTATACGAACATAAGTTGTATTATTAGAGTTCATTATCAAATTAAATTTCAACATGGTAGGATGTGAATAGTAATATTGTGGTAGACATTTTGTCCTTAATTCAGCATAGTAAGGACATACCAGCAAAAAGTGGAATTCATCTTCAATTACATTTAGTGCACAAAATTTGCACAATCTGTTATCTCTTGGAATATTATAATATCT